CTCTTGAATGATCGTTTATCGTCTAAACAAAGTGGAAACAAGCATCTACACTCAACAGAAACCTCGGTAATTCAGACTACAGACATGATCCTGAATGCCATTGACAAGAAACAGCTAATTGCGATTGTATTACTCGACATGAGCAAAGCATTCGATAGCATAGATACCACGACTCTGATTACTAAGTTAGAAGATGTTGGCGCGTCTTGTCAGGCGATTCAATGGTTCCAAAGCTACCTAACATCCAGGTATCAAGTAGTAAGAATACAAACAACCTTATCCGACCCTTTAGAGGTAAAGAGTGGAGTACATCAGGGAAGTATACTTGGGCCACTTCTGTTTAGTATTTATGTGAACGATTTGCCATCAGTTCCACAACAATGTTCTCCCTATTCCTATGTCGATGACACAAAACTCCTAATGTCGTTTTCTCTGCAACACCAACAAAGAGCTGTCTCAGAAATAAATCAAGATCTCTTGAGAATACGTAATTGGTGTTTTGATAACAAGTTACTGTTAAACCCAGGAAAAACTAAGGCCATGATATGCGGTAGCAGACAGATGAGAGCAAAACTTCCTAATTTTCGCCTCTCACTTCTCGGTAAAGAAATCATTCCTGTAACAAGCGCCAAAGATCTCGGCGTAATCTTGGACTCTGGTATGACGTTCGACAGCCATGTACAAGCCACTATCTCCTCATGTATGTCTCGTTTAGGTCAAATAAACCGTGTGAAACATTGCTTTGACAAACACACATTAACAATTATTATTAACTTTCTAGTTTTTTCAAAATTATATTATTGCTCTACAGTCTGGAGCAACACTTCTCAAACAAATTTAAATAAGGTACAGGTAGTGCAGAACTTTGCATGTCGAATAGTTAGCGGAGTTGGCAAATACGATCATGTCACACCAATCCTGCAAGAACTAAAGTGGCTTCCTGTTCGACAGTATTTATATTTTCGTGATGCAGTCATGGCATTTAAATGCATGACAGGAAACGCACCTGCATACCTAACTGAACAGTTTGTGAGACGAGGTGACATTTCATCTCGCGTTACTAGGAACTCGAGCATGATTGAAACTCCTTTACACAGAACAGCAACCGGGCAACGATCTTTCAAATTCAGAATGGCCACAATTTGGAATTCGTTAAAACCAGAACTTAGGGCCTGCGAAACAACGAAAGACTTTAAACATATTTTAAAACAGAGACTTGTAGAAACATTTAAATTTAGGACCAATCTTAAGACATTTTGATGTAAATAGCATATATATTTGTGTAGTACTACCAAGTGTGTGTGTGTGTGTGTGTGTGTGTGTGTGTGTGTTGTGTGTGACTGTGTGTTGTTATGTGTGTCTCTCTATTATTACAGTGTATAAAAATTTAGATCAATTATGTAAAATTTCGCTGAAAAGCCTTTTAAGGGATGTGAAATTAAAATACAATAACAATAACAATATTATAAACGTATTAACGATTGAGAAACAGAATATAGAAAAGGGAATGGTATCGAACAATACTTCTACAAACACCATCAACATTAATACTTTCAATCGAGTGAGATGCAACCGAAAAATACATTTTGAAGTGTGTATAAATACTATAATATAAATTATATAAGATTGGCAGTTTTAAGGTAAATTATTAACTGTGTCCGATTGAGTCTGTGAAGCATGGGTTGGTATTGAACTCTCGTTAAATTGAAGGCTTGAATGTGACCATTTCTGAAGTTATAATACCGAAAAAAACTTGTGTTGTGTTTCAGCCAGGCTTGTTAAAATGCCAAAATTGTATGCATCTAATAATTATTAGTATTTATACATGTTATATGATTATGATCTATATTATATTTTGACCAATTTATTTCAATTTTAAATAATATTAAAAGATTAGGGGTTTATAGAGATATGTATAGGCCCTTTCTAAATTGTTTTCATAATTTTCTGAGAATGTGATATATATGATCTCTATAATATTATATATTTTAGCTTCATTTTAAACCGGGCAGATATGCAAAGCGATCTGAGTCGATGTTCAACATATCAAAGTATGACTTGGAAAATAGCCATGGGCCTTTCAAGGAACTTGTTGGAATGGGGACCGAACAATTATGGGTAGAAAAGTGTAACATACATCTTGCTGAACTGGCCAAAATAGTTTCTGATGCTACAGTCACTACTATTGAAAACGGACAAGATGATGAACGTATCTCTGGTACAGTGGACCGTACTGATACTGTTGTTGATATTGAACTCACTGAAGCTGCTAGCGGTAGTGAGAAGCGCAAAGCCACCGAGGAGCTCATTGAACAGTTGACGGTGCCATCAAAGAGAAATTGTAATGAAAATAAACCCAAAGATGATTTTCAAGCACATGTAGAAAATTGTCGCATTGGTAAGTTACATGTACTGTATTTTGGGTTTTATTTACGGTGTTTCACAATATTGATGGTTTGCAATCAATCTCATGATAATGGTGTCCGTCTGATGTCGGCTGGATCTGACAACAGCAATTATAACATACACTGTATAGTGTATTCTTTTGTGTTATTCTATATCTCCAACATGGCTGCCATGATGCCATATGCAAACCATCAATACAGGTATGCCGTAGTATTGTACATCTTAAGGCAACCCATTATTCTACGAGGCCTTGGTTTTTCATAATCTCATTAATTTGCAATCGTGCCATATTTTTATTGTCTTTTGCTGAAAGGCAAGGCAGGTGGCATAGGAGGCCTGACATACTCAATACTAATGTTGTTATACAGGGTGTATACAAAAAACAGAACAGATTTGAAATTGCTCTCAATTTTGAAAAAAATAATAGTTATAGGACTAAACTAAAGCAAATTGTCTGACAATTTGTATGTTAAAAACCCAACAAATTTTCCATCCATTAACTCAAAATACAGTTAAAGCTTTTAAATTTTGTGCGCAAGCCATTTTAGTTTGTTGAAAAAGAAACACTCCCCTGGTTTACAAAATTTGAGTTCGAGTATTTTTTATTATTGTATATTATGGGTATTCAAAGAATCTATATATACCGTAACAAAAAGTTGATACCACCAGCTGTTTTGTGAAATTGAGAACAATTCAAGTCTCTTCAGTTTTTTTTATATGCCCTCTATAATGGTTCATTCCAAATATGTCTTTTTGTCATATTTTGGTTGTCATATATTTTGGTAAACAAATAATTTGCCATGCATGTTCCTCGTTAAAATTTCGATATGGCAATGATGACTCACTTATTTAAATGTTGTGTTTGTCTTTTTGCAGGATTTATTATATTTAACAATTATTCACCGAAGGTGAGTTGAATTATTAGGGAATATTCACCGAGACATGTACAAAGTCAAGGTGAATATTCCCCGATAATCACCGAGCCTGGGGCGAATAATCGTTTTAGTATTTTTACACAAATCTTTTGTGTTTTTTTTGGACTGAATTTATTTTAATTTTGCTTAACATTTCTTTATCAGTGATGGCTAGCTGCCATTTTTCAAATTTCAGTTTTGTTATATTTACCTGTAGGTGAATGTAACAGCTTAATATATATGTCAAATTTGACTAATCAACTTGTATGATTTGTTAGATCGAGTGAGGTCCTGTTGAGGCAAAGCGTAAACAAGTGTTCTTGTCTCAGCTTCAGTTAAATATGGAAGAAAACGCAAATGGTGTGTATGAGCCCTTGTTTCTCAATGTCAAGGATTTAAACAAAAACGATGAATTTGACAAGAACATGTTAAGTGGGTACAGATATGAAGTATTAGGTGGTACCCATAATTTTCTGGCCACAAAAGCTCTGGCTTCAAAACATAAAATAAGATAAGATAAGATAAGATATGATAAGATAAGATATGCTTGGCTATTTGCTGGACTGTCTGATCAAGAAGCATTGTCGGTTGCCACCAGATACAACAAAACTGGACCATTCAGGCATAAAATATCTTTTCAAGAAGAGGTAATGCAATAGTCCAGGAATTTAAATAGATAAAATTTGAAACCCTTCATTATTACGAGACAATTATTTCACAGCTATAAATTGTAACAATGTCAGGCATTTGCTGGGAACCTTTGATTGTTGGTGTGACATACTGTATGTTGTTCATACAGTACATGTCATACAACTAATTCAAAAAAGATTGTCCTTATTTGCAAACCTTACACTCTAAACCTTAAACTTTAAATTCTAAGCCTGCAAAGCATAATGGGAGTATCATTTGATCAGTTTAGAAATCATACAATATATGGGGCCCATTTCTAAGAGACATGGTAAATATATCCTTACAAGAACAATTCATTCACAAACAGGTGCACCCATTAAGATTTTAAGGTTTAAAATAAGTTTTAGAGTTTAAGGTTTGCAAAGGACAACCTTTTCTGAATTACATAATAGATAGCTTAAGATCTACGACGTCGACGTCAGCTAGGACGTCAGGGCTATGCAGAGGACTGGGACTAGGATGTCGTCCTAATGTAGTCCCAGTCCTCTGCTTAGCCCTGACCTCCTAGCTGGCGTCGACGTCGTAGATCTTAAGCTATCTATTATATAGTTGCTGCGGAGCGAGTGAGCCTGAAGCGAGCGAGCGTAGCAGCAGCCTAATATGTGCAGAGAGGGGGTTTTGAACTAAATTTTGTTAAGCGCATGGAATTGTGGTCGTACGCGCTTTCTATGTGCAGAACACAAATTTAAAACTCGCTTGAGTCTTCGAATTTTTATCGAATTTCTAAAGCTTTTTCAAGTCTAATGTTACGCTTACATTTGTTTTGAAATTTGGCCACTGTCAGTTCTTTATAACGTTTTGGTTTCTGAGTGTGATAAATATGTGTATATAGTCTATATAATGTGGTAAATGCGCCTAGCAGTAAACAGACTTGATATGAAATCTGATCTTAATTTACCTGTATGTCAATGAGACGCACATGTTTAATATCTGTCACCTCTGATTGCCCTTTAACCCCTGGTCTTTGCTACTTCAATATATATTGCTTCTTCTCAGTTCCATTCACGGCTCACTAGTTGCTGGGAGTAATCACTGTGCTTGATATAATTTGTGCTGTTTACTGTAGTTCTATTTGCTTTTAATGCCCGCAGCAATCCCTACCTTGCAGGTACCCTAGTTATGAGATATGCCGTTCCGTATGTTAGTATAGTGGGCGTACTACAGTAGCAAGAATTTTCAAAATGGCAAATTTATTCATTCTTTAGATCGATCTAGCTTATCACCAGTTGCAAATCCTAGGAACAAAAAACCAAGATGGCGAGATGTTGCCAAATCCAACTTGGAGGGAGAGATGCGCATTAATATTAGGAAAGAACGTACAGTATGTGACTGTGTTTACTTGGGTTGTCAATTACAGGGTAGTTAATGTGGGTTATATAGCCATGTAAATACTATACTAATAAAATATACATACTTCTATTCTGTTTAATTTTCAGAAAAAGGCTTTGACGGAGATATGTGCTGTAGCTTCTCTACCAAAGAATGGTTACAAGCTGTTTCAAGCTATTTGCACAAAATATGAGAAAGGAAAGTTGAAAGAACAACATGCTCTTCCGAAGGATATGAAGGGAAAGCCAAAATTTAGGACAGTTTATGTCAGCTGCCTTCATGGTCTTGATGTTGCTGACCGAATTGAGCTTTTGAAAAAGGTAACAGCAATTTAAAATGACACAGTAACTACACTGCAATGCTTGGCCTTGGAGTTCAAACTAAATATGTGAAATTGAAGTGACAATTGGTCACAGTATATCTTCAAGTCTACAGTACATGTATATAATAACACTTCCTGCAAATTGGTTTACGTGTAGATTTAGAATCAAACACTTTCCATTGTTTCCACTTTTCAGTGGATGTCTGTTTTTGGATTACTGCCGTGTGATTGTCTGACTAGTGTGCAAATTTAAACCTTTTATTTGGATGACTAAAAAATGATACATAATCACAGGGATGGATTTACTGGGTGTGTGTACCCCCTAGCTCTGGCCAGAGGGGGTGCAGGGGGGGTGCTATTTTTCATGATGAAGCAAAATATAATAGAGACAAAATGAGATACAGTAATTTGAGCAATAAATGATGACTAGCAAACTGTGAACAACAATTACAAATCTCTTATTAATAATTCATGAGTAAATTAGCAAACCATATTTCTTTATTTTATTCACATGAATTTAATACTGGATACCTGATGAAGAACGTTGATGCAGTACTTGGATTGGATCAACATTAATTCAGTCCTAGGCCTGGATCAAAATTATCTTGCCTCACTTTAATTTGTGATTTACTCGTATGAGATGTCATTTCAGATCCTCCAACTTGGACTGGACTAGATTTCAGGTCCTAGCATTTTGATCCAGTCCTTGGCTTTACCTCGGACTAGGGATGTGCCGGATACTGTTTTGCCGGATAGTACCGGATAGTAGTCTACCAGATACCGGTCAGGAGAAAATGATGACTGGATACCGGATAACAACCGGATACTGGATAATAACCAGATACTCCCATACAATAATTTATTAGAAACACAACATTTTTATAGGCTAGATTAATTAACTAGTCCAATGTGGCAATGTGTTTAATACAATAACATCAAGAGTTTTTTGTCTCTTTGACCTATTTGTCTTTACCAAGGCCATATCTTATGATTCACCTTACATTGTTTACTGGCATTCAGTATATAAAATTCACTGCTGTTGGCGAACGAGCAGTTCACATCACCATCACGAAAAAAATATGTCGTAATGCAGCGCACGCTCAGTAATTGTTCGTGTTTCACAATTTGTAAACGCCAAGTAAACTGTTCCGTTTCATGGTTGTAACAAAATATCTTACAGCACTATCCGGCAAATTTATACCGGATACCGGATAGTGCCGGATGTCGAAATTTTACCGGATATCAGATACCAGTATCCGGATCCAGCACATCCCTACCTCGGACTTCATAAAATTGCGGCACTTGAAATCTAGTCCAGTCCTCATAGTCGGATTTGAAATATTACTTCAAATACAGTATGTTCATGGGCACGGGCAGCACACATGACTGACACAACTTGGCACCAGAGCTGGCAAGAACCCTCCCCCAACCTACCAGATCATGCTGGATCCATCCCTGCATAATCTAAAATACCAACTTACTTGTAATAGTGATTTGAAGTAATTACTGATCATGAAAGATTAAATTTTGTTCAGAAATTTAACAAGTTCAAATGCAATCCGCAAAACTGGTGTGCAAGTACTATTGTACTTTACTAATTGTTTCAGGTTGCTGAGGGGGACATCAGTCTGGAACAGCTGAAAGTCATGGCGAAAGAGTTCAAGATGATCAGGCCAATTCAAAATACAATTTCCTCATTTGTTGGTAAAGAGTGGGGAATTATTGCAAGTCAACTTCCAGAATATACAAACCCAGAGCAATTGTTTCGTTTTGCTGTAAGTATAATAGCTGCAACTATAATTGGCAAGTTAAACGACTCATGATGATTTGAGTTGTTGGTAACTAATTTCAGCTACAGTTTTTAGTTAGCCATTTCCCAAAGTCCTGAGTCTAGTCACGCAAATACCATGTTGGAGGGGGACAAGAAATATGGCAGCAGATGTTTAAATTAAATGTTTAATATAAAAACGAGATGTTTCATATTTGGGCGTCTAAAAAGTTGATTTTGATAGTAGATACTTCTACTCTTTCACATATTTGACGCCTACCACCATATATTCTGTCCATCCAAACGATCCCAGAATGCACTGTGTCACTGTGATCTCTTTTGGGAAAAGGCTAATTATCCGTAATTATATTTTTCATTTAGGGAAAGGATCCAACTAATTGCTTTTTTAAAAGCTATCTTCAACTATTACGCGACAAACTTGATGGTAACCAGATTGTTAAAATCCCTTCCCCTAACACCTTCTCAACTGAAAGCAGACATCAAGGCATCATTTGCAGATGCGAAGATCCACTAGCTGTTGAACAAAGCATGTGTGGTCGCAAGGATACTGGGTTTGCACTGGCAATGTACACCTTCTGTGGCATAAATGGAAATGAGGTAACAGGCACATAATTATCTATTACCGGTATTTCACTGAGCAACCAGTTATTAAGTTCATGGGAGGCTAGAATTGAACACTTTATAAACATTTCAAATATCCAAAGGGGTTATTGTTTGGAAATCAATCCTGCTGTCTATTATAATATAGAACCTGGGGCTTCATTTGGAGAAAGTGTTCAAGTTGGTTGACCGAGTCAACTTTGCCACCCGTCAGACCTACAATGTGATTGTAGTTGGAACAGCTGAGGATATTGTTTCTGCAAAAGGATGGATAGCGATAAACAGAGGCTCGATTGCAGAGATTGGGTACATTTCCAGGAGCAATGTCAAAAGTTCAGGTGTGTATGGAAATAGCTTATTTGAAAACATCATTGATAATATTTGAAAATCGCTTATTTGGAGAGCACCGCTTGATCAATCCAACCTTGCAGTAATCACCTGATAAACACTTTCTTGTCCTTCATGCCACCCTCCATTAATAGGGAGCTTTAGCAGCGACTACGAGTACGAGATTCGCCAAGCGAAACGCATCCTGTATGCTTACGCCATCCTGTATACTGACGCGAAGTCGTAGTCGTCGCCCATCTGAGTACGAAATTGTGGAGAAATCTCATAGTCCTCACCACGACTTTTCAAAAAAACAAAGAAACTTGGCTTTTTTGTTTTTCAAAAATAATTTGTTGCGTTTATCCGGCGCAAATAATCTATTAGTATTAAAAATCTGGCTTGTTTTTAATATTATGGCGTATTTGCACATTTTGTAGGGGATTTTGACCTGCAGGAGACCAAGTTTATATGAACTTTTTCTTTCGTTGTTTGTCTACTACTATAAAAGCAACACTTCGACGGAAACGAGAACGACTACGGTGATTTCATCGCACACGATCGAATCTCGCAGTCGTACTCGTGGTTGCTGCTAAAGCTCCCTAATAAAAAGTTGTAAGACGATTGATTCACACTTGATGAGCATTCCAGGTCAAATTTGTAATTATGACCTGCCGATACTTTCATTACTGAAAGAGTATAATCTAATATGTTTGCTCGGTTTCAGGAGATCTGAGAATGATAGAATCTATCGACAATGCCTTCATGGTGTACCATGCAGCTGTTGGTGACCGATTGTCACCAGAGCATGTGAACTTCACAAAAGAAAAATGTCCGTCCAACCTTGTTGAAGTACCTGACACTCACGTGAATAAGCAATATTCCTTGTTGAAAAGATTGATAGAAATGTTCAGTCGACAAGATGACTGGATATTAGATATTAATTCAGCACAAGGTACAGTATATATAGCAATGAGACCTATGTGGTTTTTTCTGCATCTTACTCGACTGAAATTAATGCATAGATTGTTTTTTAGAATAATTCTCAGACAATGACATTGCCACTGAATTCAAATGATAAAATCATATACCCAGTCACACCGTGTGTTTCTATTTCAGCTACTGGAGTTGTTGCTGCGCTGAAAAGCAAGAGGAACGGTTTGTGTTTGGTTTCATCTGATGATGAAGAATTTGTGTGCAAACGGAAACTGAGTGAATTAATGAGGGATAAGTAGGAGCATTAATCTCAGAACTCGTTCATCGATGTGCCAGGAACTCTGATGTTGTACTGCATAACGATTAAATAAGTTTTATATTTACAGTAATATAGTAACCTTTTATTCAAATCACTTGTTCATTTACATTGCGGGATTATTATTATACAAGGTTCAGAAATTCTGACCCTCCTTTGTTGCAGATATAAACGTTTGCATATTTGATTATTTTGATACACTTAGCTTGTTCATTGGGGTGTCATAAATTCTGAACCTTTCATGTTAAGGCTTTGCGTTTTGAGTGAGATATATTGCGGGATTATTATTATGCAAGGTTCTGAAATTCTGACCCTCCTTTGTTACAGATATAAACGTTTGCATATTTGACTATTTCGATAGACTTATTCATCGAGGTGTCAAAAATTCTGACAACCTTTCATGTTAAAGCTTTGAATTTTGAGTGAGATATTGCGGAATTATTATTATACAAGGTTCAGAAATTCTGACCCTCCTTTGTTGCAAATATAAACGTTTGCATATTTGATTATTTTGATACACTTGTTCATTGGGGTGTCATAAATTCTGAACCTTTCATGTTAAGGTTTTGAATTTTGAGTGAGATATTGCGGAATTATTATTATACAAGGTTCAGAAATTCTGACCCTCCTTTGTTACAGATATAAACGTTTGCATATTTGACATTTTCGTTGCATATTTGACTTTTTCATTGCATATTTGACTTTTTCGTTCATCGAGGTGTCAGAAATTCTGAACCTTTCATGTCAAGGCTTTGCATTTTGAGTGAGATATTGCGGGATTATTATTATACAAGGTTCAGAAATTCTGACCCCCCTCTGTTGCAGATATAAACGTTCGCATATTTGATTATTTTGATACACTTGTTCATTGGGGTGTCAGAAATTCTGAACATTTCATGTAAAGGCTTTGAATTTTGAGTGAGATATTGCGGAATTATTATTATACAAGGTTCAGAAATTCTGACCCTCCTTTGTTACAGATATAAACGTTTGCATATTTGACATTTTTGTTGCACTTGTTCATCGAGGTGTCAGAAATTCTGAACCTTTCATGTTAAGGCTTTGAATTTTGAGTGAGATATTGCGGAATTATTATTTTTCAAGGTTCAGAAATTTTGACCCTCTTTTGTTGCAGATATAAACGTTCGCATATTTGATTATTTTGATACACTTGTTCATTGGGGTGTCAGAAATTCAGAACCTTTCATGTTAAGGCTTTGCATTTTGAGTGAGATAGTGCGAAATTATTATTATACAAGGTTCAGAAATTCTGACCCTCCTTTGTTACAGATGTACGCGTTTGCTTATTTGACTGTTTCGATACACTTGTTCATTGGGGTGTCATAAATTCTGAACCTTTCATGTTAAGGCTTTGCATTTTGAGTGAGATATTGCGGAATTATTATTATACAAGGTTCAGAAATTCTGACCCTCCTTTGTTACCGTCACAGATATAAACGTTAGAATATGTGACTATTTCGTTACATTTATTCATTGGGGTGTCAGAAATTCTGAACCTTTTATTTTAATTAAGGCTTTGCTTTTTGGGTTCAGAAATTCTGAACCCTCCACGTTTAAGAAATATTGCTGTAATGTAGTATTTATAACGTCCAGTCTCAGTATTTATTTAATTTGTAAAGCAATCGCATGTACTGTAATTTTGAATTTCTCCATTTTCAATAAAATTTCATATTTTTGTAGCAAATGGTTATATTTCATAACAACTCCGCAAGTACTAAATCTTTAAGCAAAAAATGTTGACGCTCCACATTTTCCTGCTATTTTCCTATTTTTTTCGGGAAAAAAAATACTTTGGAAAAGTCCAATTTACTTTGGAACTTTACCTTGTCTGTACCAAGTCTCGAATTGCCAAACGTAGCCAAACCATCCCGCGTTTAGAATTAATAACTGGTCACATGGCAGTTAACCTTGTATCAAACGTAGAAACAGTACTTAGCAATTCCCACGTGGAAACCTTCTTCTGGCTTGATTCGATCGACAGACGACCGTGGCCCTTTACTGGATAAAGGGTAAAGGAGATTATCGTCAGTACGTGGCGAACCGTGTACGGAAAATTCAGGAGTATAGTCAAGTAAGATAGGCCTACTCTGGGGCGGTAAATCGCCTTAAATCGCTGCGATATAATGCGATTTTAGGCGATTTAAGGAAAAACTGAGACTTTCAAGCACTGCGATTTAATGCGATTTTAGGCGATTTAAGAATTTTTTTTAAATTTTAGGGATTGCTATTTAGGTGTTTTCAAAAAGGAATTGAATTTTATATTTTGCTCCGGTTTCCTCCCACAAGGCAAAATTGGCAGGGTGGGTTAGGATATAAACACAGTTAGGAAAGTAATATCATATTCTCATTGTTGTAAAGATAAGTAGTCTAGGCTAACATAAGTAATCATAGTACTTGATGTAATCGGTCACTGAAAAGCCTCAATGTGGGGAGTGAGCTGAATAATAATGTAATGTTTCCACACTCATATATGCATTGTATGAGGCAAAATACAATTTTTAGAACATGTATGTACATTTTATATAAAGCTAGGTTAACTAAGTATTGTATTTAACCTGATTCACATACAAAGCTCAATATTCATGAACTTTTCATCCATTCTCAATTTAGAAGCCATTGGGGTTCATCTTGTGGGGTCATGTGGTCATTCATGGCTACATTATATACCACAAATATTGTAAACTGTTAATATACTCTACTTAAGGGGCATGCACTAAACATTTATTATATTTTGCAATTTTAACTCGACATAAATTAATGATATTAAAGTTTAAGACATGTGTAGTACACATGTCTTAAACTTTAATATCACTAATACATGTGTAGTACACATGTCTTAAACTTTAATATCACTAATACATGTGTAGTACACATGTCTTAAACTTTAATATCATTAATTTATGTCAAGTTAAAATTGCAAAATATAATAAATATTTGATTTCCAAAAAACCCACAAGAGAAACACACAATGTATTTATACAGTATATTAAACTGAATAAGCTATATCCTATAAATTACCTTGTCACCCTTGTAAGTGAAATTGTCTTGTTTTGTATCATGTCAAAAACTTCTTTATTTAGCTTGCATTTTATTTAAACTGTTTCAATCTCGTGCTTTCTTCAAGCTACAAACATGTTTTATAAAATTTTTGATATCCATATCATATCCCAGTGCCATATCCAGAAACATTATCGTCACGCATACTGGAGCTGTCGGCGTAATGCCGTAATGTTTAAATTACATGAAGTATATCGTATATAAATGGTAGGAATTCTAATTTCTAAATTATTTTAAAATTAAAAACAAAATAATACAGTATTAAACAAATGGCGCACTACATCGTGGTTTTAGGTTCTGCAAACAAACAACAACAAAAGATCTATTGTATGGTATGTACGATGTAATCATTGTTTTACTGTTTATTGTATATACAGGTCTGGAAAATTTAATAGATGAGAGTTGCAAATCGTTCATAACCTCACGTATATTTTTCGTTTGATAGCCACTATAGTTACAACTAGGAGCTAGAGTATAACCATGCACATGTCGAAGTACAACCATTGTATACAATTCAGTGCTCGATGTTACATGCAACAGTGCACAAATTACAAGATGACTTTATTATATAAATCAACACTCGTACTAATTGACTTTCCTAGTCTCCTACTGTTGTTCTAATTAACAGCAATTAGGCTTTGAGAAGCCATGTAGATTATAGATTAATTTGTAGCCCAGCCTCCATAGTCCATATAAATTGTAGTCCAGCCTCCATTTACACCAATAATGAAATTAACTCATTCTGATAACTAGCTCCATTTTGTTGCTGGTAGTGTATGGGATCTATGGGTCTTTCAGATCCCAGAATTACCTAATTATTGTAAAGTCTGCATAAAGCAGAAAAAGGCTCTGTTTTTGTCAATGACCGGTGCCTATTGAGTGACCAAATATTGTCAGCCTAATCCACTTATTTGATTGCTAATTCATGTTGCATTACTTTTGATTGCAAAGTACCTGGATTACATGATTTGCCCGTAAAATAGCAGCAATTGATAAACTTGAGTACATGGACTGAATGTATCAAACAGAATGCATGTTGGCGATTTTAAGCGATTTTAGGTGATTTTAGGCGATTTAAGAGAAATTCGACAATTTTAATCCGCGATTTAATGCGATTTTAGGCGATTTAAGGCGATTTACCGCCCCAGAGTAGGCCTTAAGAAGGCATCACTTACCAACAGCACAGAAACCTGCAGACGTGGGAAGTCGAGGCGAAGTTGTGGCAACTAATCAACTGTGGAGAGAAAGCCCTACATGGCTGAGAAATCGTTCTGAATGGCCTACAAACGTAACTTTATAGGCAACCGCTGAAACAAGAGCTGAAGCCAAAGTGAAACAAGAAATCTTAGCAGTAGCAACGGTTGAGAAAGACGAGTTTGACGAGTCGCTCGACAAATTCAGCTTTGTTAAAGTCCTACGTATTGGAGCATGGATACAGCGCTTCCTTGATAACTGCAGAACGAAGCCCAATGAGAGAAAGAGCGGTCCGATCGATACGGAAGAAATTGAACGAGTGAAATTGTGGTGGATAAAGCGTGCTCAACTTCAAGCACAACAAGACGTACGATTTGAAGCTGATCAACTGCACTTAAGCCTTCAACCCAATAACCGAGGGATCTTAAAGTGTCGTGGTCGAATAGTCGGGGAATATCCAATTTACCTGCCTGACCATCATCCATTCACCGCGTCATTAGTCCACCACGCACACATTTCAACCCTCCACGGCGGCGTTGGAATGACAATGGCGAAAGTATGAGAAGATCATTGGGTTTCGCGATTGCGCTAGCTGGTCAAGAAGATAAGAACGAAATGCCATGGTTGCAAACGATTCCAGGCGAGAGCGTTCCAAACACCACCACCAGGAAAATTCCCATGGACGAGAACACAAGGAACTGCACCTTTTCAAGTGTTAGGCGTAGATTTTGCAGGACCAATTAAGTATCAATTAAGTACCAAGGCAGCGGCAAAGTGGTCACAGAGGTTAGAAAGGATGAGCAGTTTAATAACTATCTCGCGAAGCTGGAGATCAAATGGCAATTCAATCTGAGCCGCGCTCCCTAGTGGGGGTGGTGGCAGTTTGAGCGGCTAATGGCGGATTGTTTAAGAGAGCATTCTGCATGTCAATTGGGAATGGTACACTCAAATGGTCGGAGCTAGAAGAAGTAGTTTTGGACATAGAGGTAGCGTTGAACAATCGTCCACTCACATACATGGAAGATGACGTCCAACAACCAGTCATCACGCCGAATTCGTTGCTTCAAGTTAATCGTTGCTACCTGCCAGAGATGGATACGTATCAAATTGAATGCAAGGACCTGAAGAAACGGGCAAAGGTTCTGAATATATATATATATATATATATATATATATATATATATATATATATATATATATATATATATATATATATATAGCTTAAGATTTTGGTTTACGAAACACAAACAGTGCTCAATACCATATAGATAGAGCGTAATATAGTTTTTCGTTTTACCTCAAAAAACCACAACAGTCTGTTTCATCCGTATAGGAATCATCAGGTGGTCGAACAAATTGTTGACAAATTGTTGATATCAAGTTGTTGGAATGGTCAGGCGACCACCTGATGATTCCTATACGGATGAAACAGACTGTTGTGGTTTTTTGAGGTAAAACGAAAAACTATATATATATATATATATATATATATATATATATATATATATATATATATATATATATATATATTCACTTCCCTTGTGGTCGCCTGGCTCCATTACGCTCTGCGCATGTCTGGATGCGTTGTGTCACCGTGTTGTACCACATGCCTTGGTGAGAGCAAGTTCATGGGGTATAAATACGAGTGTCTAACGTATCTAGACGTGTACCAAGCTGCACTGACGAGGCGTTGAACGCCGAAACATGCATGTCTGCAGATTGTACTATTACGCTCCTTCACTTCGGTGTTGTTGGGCACTCTGCGGAGTTGTTAATGGATGTCTATTAGCGATAATGCAAAGTTCACTTCCCTTGTGGTCGTTTGAGCATTCTGGCTCCATTACGCTCTGGGCATGTCTGGATGCGTTGTGTCACCGTGTTGTACCACATGCCTTGGTGAGAGCAAGCTCATGGGGTATAAATACGAGTGTCTCACGTATCTAGACGTGTACCAAGCTGCACTGACGAGGCGTTGAACGCCGAAACATGCATGTCTGCAGATTGTTATATATATATATATATATATATATATATAGAAAAATATATATATATATATATATATATATATATATATATATATATATATATATATATATATATATATATATATATAAACTGGAACAGACGGAACAAACTCAGCCTGCTATGCGCTAACGCAAACTCGATTTCTCGAAGACGAAAAAAAAACAGGAAAAAAACAGAAAAGTAGGGATTTAAGATACTTGGCCACAGGCCAGTGTAATTAAATTCATTCATATAGAAGCTAGTACATATAAGTCATTCAGGAATTAATTATAGGAATTTGTAATAGAGTAGGAATTTCTAAAGGAATAAAATTACATAAATACGATATATGTTAAGAATTCTCAGGGGATAAAAATAAGTCTGATAAGAATTCTAATAGGAATATTTAGGTCCTATAAAATTCTAATAGGAATATCTATTTCCTATAGGAATTCCAATAGGAAAAATTATATGTCCCATATAGGAATTCAAATAAGACTAATTTTGTCCCAACAGAATTCCAATAGTAATATTTAGGTCCTATAAGATATAAGCACAAGTTCCAACGTGTAATCATTATTTTAATATGGCAAGCATCTGGTTTTATGAATCGCGCGTTTTGATTGGCTGTTGACGAGGCAAGATTTTCCCGTATTGCCCACAGGCAATACGCAATTTCATTGCCCTCCGAAGAGAGCGGAACTTCAAACGGCAACAAGTGTCTAAAAGTCTTTCAAACTATTCAACATGATGTGAAATAAACCTAAGACCCCGTTACGAATTTGGGACCGGTCTGAACTTCGTCCTTTTTCGGCCGTTTACACGCGAATTCGTCGTGTTAGTGGGTCTCAAATGCATCGTTTACGTCGTTCTCGCTTGTTTACACAGCCAAATTCGGTTCCAAATTCGGTTCCAAATTCGTCCGGTACTGTATATAAACGGGATCTTAAATAAAGAAAAGGGGCAACTACTGTGGTTAAAGAACTTTCTCAATACCTTTTTTTAGCGAAAGTCGAAATTTCAAGGTAAATTTTAGTAAATTACAATGTTTATAACTATTAAAGCAGTCAGGAATAGTTGTGTTTTGACTATGTTAAGAGCTGCAGTTTTTTTTGCCGATATAGCCAAGAAGAATTTGACACCATCCAATATAAAAAATACAACTAAAGCAGTCACAGATTTAGAATTTTTCTCTGAAAATTTCTGTTTCTGTCTCATAAAAAGATACATAAATATGAGATGAAGCGAACTAGAAACGTATTTGTCCATACTGTTTATTAATTTTATTGTTTTCATATTTGTTGTCTTTGACTAAATGACGAAGTAGGCTACCTCTTTTTTTTCATGAAATGCAAATTGTGTTAGTATTCTATATAAAAAGTGCTGTAGAGTTGTTTTACTAACCAATTCAAGAGAACATTTTTTACAATTGTTTTTTTTCCCAAATGTTTCGGACTGTGCCCTCCCGTGAACTCCTCCCCCCCCCTCCCCCCATTTTTTACAGTACAAACGTACAATGGCATATAATAATAAAATTACTGAGCTCGACCGTATTGCCCTCACTCTCGTTCAGGAAGTTATTAATATTTACTTTCACTACAAACGCTATATCTTATATTTAGATTGGTTTGGTCCTAGGCCCTTTATAAAGTGTTTTAGTCTAAATAAATTTGATACTACGTCACAGACTTATAGAAACAAACGATGCGTGCTCTTTGATGCGTCAGGACAACGTGCGCCACGTGTAGTGTTGATCGAGTGGATCAGATACAGCAACTTATGAAAGCAAAGCTATTCTTCATTCCTACCAGATTGCATTGAAACCCTATTTCACGACAAAGCAAACGTTGAAAACGTTTTAGTTCATTTTTATATATGGAGAAATGAAGCGGATGCTGGAAAAACTTTATATATACAGACAGATCAAAGGTTGGTAATTTGGGCAGCATGAATGTTAATTAATCAGGCAAATGAATATGTAACACAATATAGAACTCTATTCACATATGCTGTTTAATGTACCCCTATCGATTGCATATCCAAGATGGCGGAATGCACGCTGCATTTTTTCAAAATAAGTCAATTTATTTCGCAAACCAAGCAAGATACGGAATAATTGTAAATGAAGTTTAAAAGTCATTTTAATTATATGCTTTTTTGTTCATGAGTGATTCAGTAATATTTTTTGCGAAGTGGACGTGAATAGTATAGAGCACAAAAAAGCGAAGATGACAAAAACAACGCCAAACTTTTAAAACTGTTTCATTTATACCGATCCCGTAATAGTTTAAATTTTAAAAAAAACAGTATTTACAAAGTTAACTTTTAACTATTTTGTTTACTCTAAATAGTTTTGAGGAATACTTTTAAGCTACAAATTAAAATACAGCACGACACAAGGAGGGTAAAAAACAAAATTATCATCTTCCAAACCAAATGTCATTATTAATAAGAAACTCGATTTGCCGTAGTCTTTTTAGTACTCAATTAAGTCATAACATTTTAAGAAACTTTTCGGGGAAATTTATGACATGAAGACGTTTTAACAAATTTACCCTGCTTGTGACTTATCAGAAATTCAGTTAATTAGGTCAATTATAATTCAAAGATGGCAGACTGTACACTGTTTTTGGTCCCAATATTTCGAAAACCGGCCAAGGTACAAAAAAGTTGCAAAGGGTCTTCATATAAGGGTCTTCGTATATATGAATACGTTCGATCAATGCAAGTTTTCCATATCCCTTTAAGCAAACGTTTTCATTCAGTTAAAGATATATTTTTATGTCCCAACCTGAACTGCGTTAAATTAAAAACAAGAATACGCAATGCTTGACTTACAGCAATAACATATATAACATTACAAATTATAATATAGCATTTGTAAATTCTGAACGCTGATTGCCTAAGAGCCGTGTTGATATAACTCAATATCAACACGGAAACATCGGAAAATTTCTTTCTTTATATTTCTTTGTGCTATATTATAAAACAAATGCAGTGCGAAATTCTCTATGCAGTGCAACAATCTGCAACAACAGTGCAATATTCTCCAACAAACTGATGTGATTGGTGGAAGAAAACTTTAGGTTCTAAAGTCTACCAATTAGCAGTCGTGAAATAACGGCCGCAGTCATTATATAGGTTTAGGAAACTAGATTGGACGTCTAAGACGACGTAAAAATGACGTGTGCACCTCGAGTTCAGTTCCGGGTTTTAAGGCGGCATGTTTGTCTTTTTCGAAGCAAATTTTTGTTTTGTTGTTACCTGCTCATTCCTGTATTGTTTTTAACCAATTGTCAAGATATGTGAACAAAAAAGGTATATAGCCTAATACTAGCCAAGTGTTTCCTGATGAATTTGTATCAACATTCAAAAAACCATTTTTCAAAAAAGCCGTATCTTTCAGTGTTTTTAAAAGGAAATTTTGTTGCATCACTTACAATATATACAAAAATTAGAGGTATTGTTTACGAGCAAAATGCTTTAGGTTGTAACTTATTGGAACACGTTTGTCAATTTTTCAGTATCAATATTGCAGCATCAATGTTTATTTAGTTTTCCACGCTGGAAAGTGTTTTTTGACTTCTTTGCACTGAGGTGGCGGAACAACTAAAATTTTTCGAGTTTTACTGCTCCAAGTGCTTTTATTTTCCCATTATTTTGTACACTTGTTATCATAACTTCGGTTCAGTTGTCCTAAAATGATTGTTTTTGTGAAGAATACTGGCGGTATTGAAGTGGTTATTAACCACAATGCTTCCAGTTTTGTTGATTTGTTATGGCGACGAAAGTATTTGTCGAAAATCAACACGCCCAAAATTTACCGAAATACAAGAAAAACAACTTGGTCAATAAAAAAAAATTCTTGTATTTTCACGTCGTGAAATCGACCAAGACGACGAAACGAGAAGCTGACGGAAGTTTAAAAGAAATGACGATCCGCGTCGTCTTTAAGCTCGCGTCATCTTTTCTAAAGCTACATAGAGCAGAAGTTGAATTCGAGTGCAAGATATGGCATCTATATATCTTTTGAAATAGAAACGCCTTTAACTCAATTTAACTTAATTAAACAAAATTCCTAAAATTTAAGCAATGTTGTTTAATGTGATTAATAAATCAGGAAATCTTTGTCAGTTGACGGTTAGCTGTAAACGTGCAAGTTAAAAATACAATTGCCTCTAACATTTTTATGCATATTGTTAACCCGTAATGGAATGGTTTCCTGTCAAATTTGGATAAAACAAGCACTCGTGAGATATTCAAGAACCTGAAATATTCGTTCTATTTTGGCGCATTTTGAAAAACTCAATTACTGGATCATGTTTTATCCAAAATGCACTCGACACCACATTATATTACTTATACAAACCCCGATATTATAGATTAGAACAAAAATGTTAGTTTTGATTTGGAAATGCTACAGGAGCGCGCAATTCTTCAATGAAACGTAGAATTATCTTCTTGGTGACATGCGACATAAGGCAGATGTGAGAACAGACTCTTTGTTTGAATATGCCATCGGTAGATTTTATTTTTAGCAAATGTGAAGCCAATGAATAACGATGCACGATATCTTGATTTGGTTGTTTAAAGCAGACAAACAATGAACCCGGTGAGTTTGAAAGCCATAAGTCCACACGCAGTTCTTTTTCAAGCTTTCGCAAATTACTTAGTAAAAACACCACCATTTCGTGTCCACGGGCAGCTATTTCGGTAAAATCCTGGTAAGATTTCTTTGAGAGTAGGTCCCACATTACTAAAACACCGTGGCCGCACCTGGAACTGGACAAAGTGCTATCATGACCACCAACATACATCGGGTTATCACGAGGTCTTACTTGATCCGTTTTCCTCATCATAAAAACTGCAGAAGGAAAAGCACAGCCAAACCATTTGTGTATGCTCATTGCAATGGATTTCACTTCAGGAATACGGAAATCAAATGCAGGAAAACCATTTGGAAACGTATTGGAAACCAAACCCTGATTGATTGCCATCTCCAGAAATGGAAGATGGGCTGCTCCCAGGGCACCGTCAATATGAAACCAAAATCCATTCCGAATATCAGATTTAACCAGGTCTTCCGAACAATGTACAAGGCGTTCGTACATGTTGTGTTGTTTCAACATAGGCACAAGCTCATTAATAGCAGCTCGTGGATCATCGTAAGCTCCTTTAAATGTCGTACCACTGGTAAAAATTACCACTGGAGGGTAGCCTCTCAGAACAAAAGCTGTGACGAGTTTCACAAGGCATGGGATGCTAATTGAGCCATCCTCCTCAACTGGCACTGCACGTGGCCAGCCATTTTCATCAAGGGATTCGTCACAAAAACTGGATGGGTAATCATCTGGATATCTCAACGGGCAATGAAAATATCCACTGCCGATATCACGGAAAGTTTTCATCTGTAACATTCTCAATGTTTTTTCAAGGCCGTGGAAGCCTTCTTCGGAGAAAAATACAACTGGAGTAAAGGCGTTAGGATTGTCTTTTAGTGGTGAATTTGACAATTCTTCTTTGCATTCCCCGTTGGACGAAACAGTTGGGTTCATAGGTGTTCTACACGTATTGTATAGGATAGGATTACTGAGAGGCATTCCGGCTAAATACTCCCTTGCGTTGTACAATGCGAGATGATTACCTTCGGTGCAGCCCATGGACGCAACATAACCCCAGTATGTCCGTTCTTCGTCGTTTGGAGAATCGGATTGATGTATTTTCCAGAGTTTAGCAAAATAATCTAGCACGCTACATTCGATGATCTTAGTGTTCAGTGCATATTGCGTTTGTCCTGAGAATGGATCTCCGGCATTGTTGATTACGATGTCAAAAAATGGTTTCACACTTTCGTAGGTAACATTTTGGTTACCCTGATAACCTAGTACCAGATTTTGATGAGAGAATAAGTTCTTGTGCAGCTGGTTCCAGGTAGATTCCCTTTGCTCAGGTGTAAGACTATACTCGGATAATCTTGCATCCTCTTTGCGGTTTAACGGATGGTTGTGGTACCTTTCAGGAATGATTTTTGCCTTCTTTGATAACATCATTCTTTCTTCTTAGTTCAGTATTTCCCTACCTAAACGAAGCAAGCCAAAAATGGTAAGAGAATCAATGCAAATTCTGGAAAACAAACGCGGCAAATAGGCGGAAATTATTTGTCACATAGGCGGCACATGGTAATACAAATAACTAAAACGCAAAACATGTCTAGATAACAATGCTCTTCAACTGTTTTGATCGGCATTTAAACGAGGAAGTCGGTCGTTTGCGAGTCAGGACTACTAAGTGTGCCCAAAAAGAAGTTGTGTTTTTTGTTTTATTAAACATATTTTATTCACAACATGTTCTCCTAATAAAATGTATGCAAACATAATGAATTATAGAGTAAAGAATATAGTTCATCAATAAAGAATGTCAAAGTCTAAGGAAAGTTGTTCCATTCTAATATCACGTTAATTTTTAGACTGGTGCATCGCTTAGCTTGTAAAATAGATAAATATTCCGCATCAAGATTAATTATATTAACTACCTGATCTAATTAATCTTCCGATCAAATATTCTCGTGTTCAATCACTGTGAAAATATTCAATTTCTAAAGAAATTAATATTGATAATAATTTTGAATTTGCATAGCGAGACTAAATTGTCGGGCTGGCTAATAGCCTAACGAAGAAAGCAACCGTTGTGGTTGAGCAGCGTATCAATGTTTAATTGTTTCAACTATTCCCCATCGACATTGACAATATCGAGAAATTATACAGTTAATACTGTATAAATAAGAATTTAGGGAACACTGATCTAGACGACGTCCACTTAACTAATATAGATACGATTTTGCCGTTGTCTGTTCTGTTATAGATACACATTATAACGTCATAATGTAGGAAAGGCAAACATTATATAATATGCAGTATTGAACTGCGTCGATTTATAGGACGAGGTCAGGGGCGGATTTAGACCGTTGCAACTGTAGCATATGCTACGGTCAGATTTTCCATAGGCCAGTTCTAACATGGATCATAAAATCAATCTAAAATATAATTTAGCAATATTTTATTTACTTTCCTTGTTTATATTTCAAGGTTTTATTTTATTTAGTTTTATATGTTGTAAAACATTTTATTTTGACAAATTGATGACATTTATAATACGTAACGTTAATTGTTTTAAGAATTCCCGCCCGAAAATACGGTTGTAATTGCCCGTTTGCGGGTCATTACGCAATGGACTATAGCTTAGAAAATAGCATCCTTCAGAAATACACCGTAGCGTGTTGCCCATATATGATCAATTTTCGCTACGGTCAGATTCATTAAGGTCGAATCTGACCGTAGCGAAAATTGGCATATACGGCATTCTGATTGGTTTGCTACGGTCAAACGTAGCAAACCAATCGGAATGGGGCAAATGCTATAGTTTGCTACGGTGGCATGAAATTGGCTACTGCTCCAGAACGATGGAATATCTGATATTTGTGTTTGGCTCATCAACAACATGCTATTGGGAACCCACAGTACGGTTGTGCGCATTTCGAAATGAAAGCCGTCGTAAAGCTAAAGGATTTATATGCGTCAAGGTAGAAATAAAATCAGATAGTAAAACGAATCATTTCCAGTCAGGTAAGCCTTATGAATGATAAGAGATGCACATTATATTTTAATTTGAGTTTTACTGTATAGTGTTCGCTATTAACTTCGCTTTATTAAAGTGTTTGTGCGCGTATGTACAGTATACCTGCATGTATTGGAATTAATACGTATACGCGAATTATGATACGCGCGTATATATATCGTGTTTTATAGCGCGCTAATATTTGTTTGTAATGCGTATATATTCGTAAGATACGCGTATTCATATCATACGCGCGTTCATATGATATGCGTATTCGTATGATCACGGTTAAACCGTGGTATGATACACGCGTTCGTAGATGATACGCGCATTTCGGTATTCAATTGATAATGATATGCGTATGATACGAGTATCATACCGATATCGTATGTTAAAATATACGCGAGCAATAGTTTACATTTTGAGATCATTTCGGCTTATTTTTGTTTGAGAAAAGAATACAATGAGGACAAATTTAATGGTCACATGCAGTGCTCAGAACGCAGGAAATGGCATTTCCGGGCTTCAAATTTCAAAAATTTTCCGCCAGGTCTTGGAAAATGCTACGGTCAGATTTTTGGCTGGATCCGCCCCTGGAGGTGTTATAGAGAGTATTATATTTCATTCCATAAAATTAAAATATATTGCGTAGTTTACTTTTGAATTGAGACCTTACAATTTTAGGACGGCAACGAGACGGCAACGGCTACCTATACAATAGATCATTGAAACGAATTGAGTAATTACAATATATGAATAATTTAGACAGTGTCCTCGCTCTGTTTTCAACGCTAAAACTCAGATTTTCACGTCTTGATACAACGGCTGCATTCCGAGCCGCAACAAGTGCAACTTCAAACAGAGTTTAGCAGAACTCTTCCCAACCATAAAACCCATGTCTTCAACTTCTAAAACTGCATTAAATTTATACGATTGATAATATACCACGAACTATCTTTACTACAATTTATTTGAAGGAGTTTGTTCTGGCTATCGTAAGGTCTCTAATAATGATAGTGATCCTACATTGCACAAGTTATAATATTACCAAATTAATTCAAGGCCGCTGTAATTAGTGGTGGAAAAAAGTATTTTTCAAAACGTTTCACACAATGAGCTTTGAAGCAATTTTTCTTTTGAAGAAATGAAATGAAATGAAAATAATTTATTTACTTTGGGTAAATGTGAAATACAGGGCGAGCACTGAAAATCACTTTCGTGAGTGGACCCCCGATTAAATATTGCAATTATTCTTACTATTAACTATTCGTTTGGAAAAGAAGTGAAAAGAAGATGAAGTTTGGAAAGAAGCCGAGAGCGTCTGTATGAACACTGAAGAGATGTTAGCAGAATTTAAACGATTCAATGTTGATCATATTACAGAAGATATTATTGTAGGATCAGTGGATGTGAAGGCATTGTACCCGAGTTTGGACGCAACTTTTACAGTCGAAAAAGTATGTGAGATTTTCTACTCTATTAGTGTAAAAGTAATTGGTATAGATACTGAAGAACTAGGACTGTATTTGGCATTGAACAAAACTGAGACTGAATTGGTTGACCTTGACATACTGTGTTTTTGTCCGACACGTAAAACGAATAGAGGTAGGCCACCAACTATTATAGGATGTGCAATAGATAACAACAAAGATAAAAGGTTTGAACCATGGCTACCACCAAAGGAAGAACCTGACGAGCAAACAACCCGTAGAATGTTTACTATAGCTATGAAAGTAACCCTCTTATTTATCATGGAGAACCACATGTATACCTTTGACAACGAGATAAAGCTGCAGTCCAGGGGTGGCCCCATTGGTCTCCAACTAACTGGAGTTCTTGCACAATTATTCATGGTATGGTGGGATAGAGAGTTTGAACACAAGATGAAAGAGATTGGACTGAGGTTATGGTTGTACAAACGTTATGTGGACGATATAAATTCTATCTTGAGTGTTCCCAAAATGGGGCTGAGATTTGATGGTAGTACTCTGGTCAAAGATGAAGTTGCTTCCGAAGAGGATAGGTTGATAGAGCAGGATGAAAGAGCGATGCGTTTGTTCAAATCCGTTGCAGACAGCATCCATACATCTATTGAGATGGAGATTGATTGTCCGTCGCCCAATGATGACCACAAACTTCCCATACTTGATTTAAAGGTTTGGATAGAGGAGAGAGAGGAAATTGAAGGGCAACTGAAAGAAAAGATTGTATTACATGAGTTTTACTCCAAGGAAGTAGCATCCAAATCTGTCGATAATGCAAGATCAGCGTGGTCGTGGAATAGTAAGAGAACAATACTTACAAGAGGTGTTGAGAACCATATGATGATGCGCCTACAATGTTCTGGCTATAATGCGAAATTTCAAGTGGCGGCGCCAGGCCTCCGAATTTGGGAGGGCATTTGAGGGGCAAACTCATATTTTGGGGGGGAAAGATAGAATTTTTGAAAAGGTTGCCCCCCCCCACAGGAAATTCGCCCCCCCCCCTCAAAAGGGGGCGATATTCGCCCCCAGGGGCGCTATCCTAGGAATATCGCCTCCCAGGAGGTGGGGAGAATACCCTAGGAATGTCGCCCCTCTTTAGGATATTCACCCCCCATATATGCGATGTGGTTTATTCAAATAATTTTGTGATACTTTCATCTTATTAGTGCCTTACACGTTTGAGAACTTAACTCTGCAAAACTAAAGCTTTTTTGCCTTTTTTGAAACGTATTATTGGAGTATTGGCATGTTTTACCATTCAGAGATTTACAAACTAATATTGAAACTGTAAAAAACAGTTTCATGTATACGCGCATTCACTAATGAATAATGACAACTTATAAGACATACATTTTCCGATAACGACAAAACGCTTGTGTAGCCTTTAGTCGCTCTTTGTGACTAATAATTTTTTTTGAGGGGCAAATGGGGGCAAAACATGGTGGGGGCAAAACATAATTGGGGGCATTTGCCCACCTGGCACCGCCACTGGAAATTTCGAATGGAGGTAGTAAACTCTGCTTTAAAAGCATATGATAACATCCGGAGACTAGATGCATGTGGTGAGAAACCTATGTATAGACCCAGACAATGGCAACGAGTAGACCGAGCTCAAGAAAAACGAAAGAAACGAGATACCTGGTATAAGAAAGGAGGATACGAAAGCGTTATTTCTGTACCAGCAACACCAAAATCGATCCTTAAACAACGATACGAAAGAGAAGTTAGACGTATTGGACTCAACATTAAGATTGTCGAACAATCAGGTGTTACCCTCAAACGACAGTTACAACGGTCAAACCCTTTCAAAGAAAAACTGTGTCAAAGACAAGAATGTCTGATCTGTCAGAGTGGGGGAAAAGGAGAATGTAATGCAACAGGAGTCACCTACGAATTAGTTTGCCAAGAGTGTAAAGATAAATATATAGGAGAAACTTCAAGAAGTGCATATAGCCGTGGTAAAGAACATTTACATTCCTTGAACCGCCGTGAAGAACAATCTGTTATGTGGAGACACGCTTGTGAAAAACATGGAGGTGATACACCATCCTTTGTTATGAATGTTACTGGCATTTTCCGTGATGATGCGAAGCTGAGACAAATCACGGAAGCAGTATTTATTGGCAAAGTAAAGCACAACGAATTAATAAACGCGAAGAATGAGTGGAACTATATCAAAGTTCCCCGTGCTATTGTAACAATAGAGTAATTCTACTACGTCATCCGTCACGTCACTACCGAGTCACATGAGAAGCGTGTGCGTGCTTCGCTGATCAGTGCTTGCAGCTTGTTGATCAGAACACTTGTGTGATTTCTCCTCTTTGACTTTGCTAAAATTCAGAAGAATTTTGACGAGTAGGTAAGACATAACGGAGGCTTTCGTGGGACAAAAACCGTAAGTATAAAACTTATATATATGTGTGTAATTTAGTTCCAAAACAGATTTATTATGGTGACTGACAACACAGAACAGATTGTTTCACAGCCGAATGACCTCGAGCCCCACGACACACAACAGTCCGAAACTTCACAATTGGCTCAAACATTACTTGATTTAAATCAAACTATGAGCCACATGGCAATGATGCTGGGCGACTTATGGCAAAAGTCTCAGGACGCAAATGTAGTGTCACTTCAACAACCAGACGTTGAAGAATCCCAGCACAGACGACGAGGCAAAAAGCGGCGCTCAAAAACGTTGTCCTCGAGGTCCTCCTCATCTTCAGAAGCTAGCTCGGGTTCTGGAAATGAGAGTCGGGGTCGTAAACGCCGAAAGCGAAGGTCACATAGCAAAACTAGGCTTGAAAATAGGGGCGAAACGAACGATTATGAGCATGATAAAGTGAGCGTACATGTGCAAGACGATGATGATAATGTATTGGTTTTACTTCAAGATGGCGGGACAAATGACAAAACAAATTCAACCGATGAAACCCTTACGAATTTAGTGGAAATGCTTGAAGATGTTGAAGCTACCGGCGATGATATTACCCCTAAACTGGCTACTATAGTGGAAAACCGATGGAATAAAAAACTAGCGCCTGAAAAGCTGACATTAATTCAAGAAAAATACAAGCGACCCGCCAATTGCACAACAGTATGCTCACAAACAGTAAACCCAGAAATCTGGGCAAAACTGCCGCACTATCAACAACGGGCGTGTTTAAACGTCTCGAAAATACAAGAATCGGTTCGGAAAGCTGCCCTTATATCTCTGCAAACAGCTCATTCTTTGACTAATACAAAGTCTAAAGAGCTAGATGTAAAAAAGCTCTTAACACAGCAAGTTGATTCGTTAGCTTTATTGGGCCACATAAGTTATGAGTTGGCCTGCCTTCGCAGATACAAAATAAAATCCGTTTTGAAACCAGAATATGCTTCAATATGTGTTGATGATGGCACGCAAAGTAAATATCTGTTTGGGGATGATTTACCCAAACGACTAAAAGACGCCAAAGAGGCGAGCAATGTGGGGCTAGCTGTGAATACGAGCAATTCAAGAAACAACAACTATCGGGCGCCAAAAAGCTATGACCAGCGAAATTGGCGCCAAACACGTGGGGGGCATAATTACCATGCTGGCACTTCACGGTCGGATTTTTTCCAGCGAGGAAAATACCAACCACCTCGCAAGAAATAATCGCTCACTTAAAGACAATAACTTCATCTGTTTCTCCAGTAAGTAAATGGAAAATTTTTATTCCTATTTTAAAGGATTATTTAAAACAATTATGTGCCAGTGCAAAAGCTGGTCGTATCTCAAATCATTTTTCTGCCTGGACAAGCATAACATCAGATAAAGAGATCTTATCTGATACACAGGGCATGACCATTGAATTGTCAGGAATGCCAGCCCAACATCGCTTTGTCCAAACAAAGTAATAGATGCATCTAAACCCATTTCCCTAGTTATTATAACAGATGCTTCCCTGCAAGGTTGGGGTGCTGAATGTCAGAGTATAGCCACTCGTGGATTGTGGTCACATCTTGAGGCAAACGAACACATAAACTATTTAGAATTATTAGCTACCTTTTTGGGCTTGAAAACGTTTGCAAAAACAAGACGTAACCTAAATATAAGGCTTATGATAGACAATACGTATGCAGCCGGTATTATTAACAACATGGGTACAAGCCATTCTCCTAAATGTAATATTTTTGCCCATCAGGTCTGGAGTCTGGTGTATTGAGAGGTAAATATGGATTAGTGCTGCCCATATACCAGGGCGAGAAATTTATTGCGGATTTTGAGTCAAGAAGAAATGAAAAGGCATCAGACTGGATGCTAGATAAACTAGTTTAGCCAAAGCATTAAAAGACTTAGATTATTCACCAAAAATTGACCTATTTGCCTCAAGAATTAATAAACAATCTGATACATATGTTTTATACAGACCAGACCCACAAGCATCAGCAGTAGATGCATTTACCCTAACATGGAGCTCACTCATGTTTTATGCTTTTCCTCCTTTCAGTCTTATTGGGACAGTTTTAAGCAAGATCAAGGAAGACAAAGCAAGGGGGGTGGTTGTGCTACCAAATTGGCCAACACAACCTTGGTATGCGAAAGCCCTTCTCATGGGGGAAAACCACCCATACATTTCCAAGCGTCAAAAGACCTGTTGATACTTCCCAGCCATCCAAACGAGAGACATCCATCGTTCAAAAAACTGTCAATGATGATTTGCCTCTTATCCGGGAAAGTTTAGAGCTCCAAAATCTGTCAGAGTCCACGAAGGAAATTATAATGGCTTCTCGGCGTAAAGGCACTCAGAAACACTATAAATTATATCTTTTACGATGGGGAGGAATATTGTAACCGAGAAAATGTTGCACCTCACAATCGTGGGAAAGCATATGCTATCGAATTTCTTAGGGAACTATATGATTCAGGTGTAGGATATAGTGCTATAAACACAGCTCGATCAGCACTATCGTCAGTGATAATACCCACGGCAGGGATTCCATTTGGGAAGGACCCTTTATTTTGCCGGTTTCTAAAAGGGGTATTTGAACTGAAACCTTGCTTCCCAAAATACGCTGAAATTTGGGATGTAAATAAAGTTATTTGTTACCTACAACAGTTTACTTCAGTTTCTGAAGTCAGTTTAAAAGATCTTACAATGAATCTTGCCACTTTATTGTGTCTACTAACTGGACAAAGGTGTCAAACAATACACAAGATATGAACTTCATCCAACTGGAAACGGACAAATGCATTATCACAATAGACCTTTCCCCTTATAACCAAAATTTTGATCTAGGCAAGTCTAGACAAATATTTCATCACAGCTTGAAAGAGCATCACAAAATTAGTAATATTCCAAAGTTTCGTTACGAAATGTTGTATAATGAGGAAAATAGAGCCTTGCGAAGTTTGCAATTTTCAGTCATTTGGCATTACAAACGCGAAATTGCAGCCCCAACACCCGAATCGTATGTCAATTTCCCGTTTGTAATACAAAATGACTGAAAAACGGCAAACTTCGCAAGGCTATATTATCCGCATTTTACAAGATTTTGCAACGAAATTTTGGAATATTACTAATTTTGCGATGCTCTTTCAAGCTTTGTCTAGATCGAAATTTTAGTTATAAGGGGAAAGGTCCATTAGAGAAGTTTTAAAACATACTAAGGCTGGAAAATACCAAGTGCTTTTGGAACTTCGTTCGTACCCAAGGGACAAAAGAGTGTGTGTGTTAGAGTATACCTTAAAGAATATATCAAACGAACTACTGTTCTCAGAGGTGAACAATCAAAACTATTTGTGAGTTTCGTAAAGTCGCATAAAGCGGTAACCAAAGACACCATTGCCAGATGGGTCAAATCAATACTACAGCAATCGGGAATTGATACAGATAAATTCACGTGTGATAGCACCCGGGCTGCATCAACGTCGTGTGTCAAAGCAGCAGGACTTAATTTAAAACAAATAATGCAGTCAGCTGGCTGGTCCAATTCCTCTACCTTTGCAAAGTTTTATGATAAACATATTGAAACTGAAAATTTTGGTTCAACGATTCTCAACACAGCAGATGTTGAAACAGTAACAACAGTTTAAGTAGTTATAATGTAGTTGGGTTACCAAAACAAATACATTTTGTTTATCCATTCATGTGTCGGAGTGGGTTCTTCACGGTCGCAGGACTTTGAAATCTCATGTGACTCCGTATAGTGGCGTGACTGATGACGTAGTAGAATTCTAAAATTAAACGAGACTTACCTGTATGTTGAAGTTTGATTGGGATTCTACTTGTCATCAGTCAGGAACGAAGGAGTCACATGCCCAGGTACTCGGTACCAGTCCCTTCCCTCCCGTAACTCTTCGTTCCTTATTCCTGCAACCGTTCACGTTAAAAACTGATCAGCGAAGCACGCACGCGCTTCTCATGTGACTCCTTCGTTCCTGACTGATGACTAGTAGAATCCCAATCAAACTTCAACTTACAGGTAAGTCTCGTTTAATTTTAGAATTATATGACTACATGAAATTTTACCCTTTTGAACAGAAGATTGACTATATTTGTGCTACATGTAGTTTTTATTCGTTTTTATCTATTTACAATATGGCGAATTATTGAAAAGGTCCGAAGGACGAAACTTGTTTGAAATGGTGTACAAAGCTGACAATAATAAATATTTTATAATATCAATGAGTTCTCTGAAATGCCATTTCCTGGACTTTGGGGAAGTTTTGACAGAATTGTAAAGGTCAGAAAACAGTATTTTAAAGGTATATTATTTAAATGATAAAGGTGTGCATGATTTTGAAAAAAGAATAATTATGAGCAAATGATTGGGAGGGCTGCAGGCTGCCCCCCCCCCTTGCTACGGCCCTGAGAAGTAATAAACCGAAAAACATTTACAGATTTACGATTTGTTATTTTAATGTTTTCCATGTAAATGCAATAATTTCGTAAATCAGTTTATACTGACAATATATACAATTATATTATATTTTCTCTGTTTAACAACTGAAAGTCTAAAATTTTGTTTTATATTATTGCCGTAATTTTCCGAATGTCCAACCTGATTTTCCGAATATGTTAATTACTCGCTGGGGCAACTGTGCCCCAGACGAGTATAGGTTTGGGCTTCATGGATCTCCAATCTCCAATCGTCGATAGCCACATAATAGAATATTAATGAGCTGCCTAATCCCCCCCCCCCAATTATCCATAAGACTCCTGCCAATTTTACCCAAATTAT